CCCCTCTCCTCCGCCTGAGATGGGGGGGGGGTGTTTCCCTATGGTCCTCAGTCTTAACACTTCGCAGAGCGCTGAGACGCCACACTGAGCTCTGGAAGCTAGCTGTGACGGACAAAAGCCACACACACACACACTTGGCATGGATAGCAAAGTCCTAGTGCTGGTGGCCCTGCTGACGGTCGCCATGTGGAGCCCAGAGGCTGATGGTAAGTGGGTTACGGCTAGCATTTACAGATTTACAGCGTTTCAGTTTTCACATGATGCTTTGAAGTGTTTAGTTGCAATTTAATTAACTAAATAACAGTTGCAAGATGGATATTGGTGTACCATTCAGGGTTATGACAGTTAACTGAACCCAAAACCATTAAGTCTTTACTTGGAATAAAATTAACTTTTAAAGCAAAATGCAATGTAAAAACTCTTATCTTTTCAGCTAGTTGCCAAAGCAACATTTCTCATTTTCCTCTAGTTCAACTTGTTGCACTAAAATAAAAGTAAAACTGGAATAAAAACTAATAAAGACTATATAAACATATTTTAAAATAATAATAATAATAATAATAAACTAATAAAAATGACAAAACCACAACAAAATGACTAAAACTTTAAAAAAATTAAAATGGATAAAAAATTTAAATGCATTCAAAATATTAATAAAAACTATAATAGTATCTCAATGATACTAAAGTAACACTGATAATATTCTGGACATAATTTCATTTATTTGAGTTTTTTTTTTTTTAATAACACATTTATAATAAATGAAATGTATGTATTAATTATAAATGTATTAATCAGAATAACATAAAATGTTTGTTTTTTTTTAGCATGTGAATACATATATAAATCACTAGATGGATCAGACCAACATCCCTTCAAAAACAAAACAAAAAGCGAAACAAAGGCAAAAATAAACTAAACAAAAAGCCAAACAAAAAACAAACCAATCATTGTTTTCTTACTGATTGGAAGAAAAAAAAATGTTGATGAATTTACTTTGAAACTATTTTCACTCAGAAATTGCTAGTAAATTGCACAAATATTTACAAAAAAGGCAAGTAACAAATTGAAGTGAATTGATTTACTAGAGTTTTAAATTGCAGAACTACTGTATAATTAATCAACTAAGTTTTAGTGAATATTTTCAGTTAATGATCATTATAGTGTTAACGATCATTAAGGGGTTCCGCATAAATTTGCATATGTGTCTTCGCGTTAAATACTTGATGTACATGTCTATACATGTTAGTGGGTCAGATTTAGGCTTTCAGAGCAATGTTTAACCAGCTGAACTTGGTGGGTCTGGCTTTGTTGTTTCTGTGAAAGACCTAGCACTGTTTACTTATCCGCAAGCTCTTTTAATTAGTGTCTAATTAGGGAATGGTAAGCAAAAAAGTTCCTGTGCTGTTCACTTGGCATGGTGTTTAGTCAAGGCTTAATGGGCCGGTGTTTAACATGACAAAGGGAACCGAGAGTGTCGGAAAATATCTATGGGAATGCCAGAGTTTGACTTCCCTCATAACCGCATCCGTTTCGGCGGAGCGCAAAGGAAACCAGGGAGATGTGAAACCGTTCAGAGAATGTTCTTCAACAGATTCATTTAATACACATATTCAGGAGCAAAGTGCCTGGAGAGGCATGGTGTGATTATGGGATTCTGCCTTATTTAATGTCGAGGACCCTCTTTATGAAAAATGTGGCGAGTGAAAGGCAGGCCGGCCCCCGTGTGAATGGACGAGAGCCACTAGAATGGCAGACTAATCTCTTTTTAATGATCAGGGCTTGTTAATGGACGCAGGTGATTGGAGCCTTTCAGATGCTTTTACAATGAGGAAAAGTTCTGTGATTTATGCTGTTACTGTATGATTATATTGCATAAACTTGAATTGTGGATTGCTTCAGTTGGAAATTAAATTGTGATTTCATTGTGTCTTTCCAAGTTCATATAAATGTTCTGTCAAGAGATTTTAAAGGTTCAGATCAGATAGAAAACAGCTCTGTTTGACAATTGCATATTTGAAAAATGTTGTTTTGCAAGATTATTCATCTTGTTATTGGATGAATTTACAAAAACTGTAATAATCAGTGGCTATATAAAAAAAACTATTGGGTAATTTATTCATTGTTTTAACAAATCAATGCTCAGTTTTAAACTGTAAAACAGAAGATTTGTTTATGTTTAAAAAAAATCTGTGCAACATATCTTTTAAACTATTTCTTTAAATTAATGAAAATAATATCAAGAGATATGGAATTGTTTTAAATACTCAAAACATATTTTTCTAATACCTATTTTTTGAAGAATATACTCTACCATTAAAAAATATTTTTTATGTTTTTGACATCAGACACTTATGCTCACGAAAGCCGCACTTATTTGATCAGAATTACTGTAAAAACAGTAATAATGTGAAATACTATTTCAATTTAAAATAACTGCTTTCTACTTAAAAATATTTTACAATCGATTTTGTTTCTGTGATGCAAAGCTGAATATACAGCATCATTACTCCAGTCTTCAGTGTCACATGATCATTTAAATATGCTGATTTGCTGCTCAAGAAACATTTCTGATAATTATCAATGTTGAAAACAGTTTAGCCACTTAATTGTTTTAGAAAACATTTTTTATGATTGTAACATTATAAATGTCCTTTACTGTCACTTCTGATCAATTTAACGCATTCTTGCTGAATAAAAGTATTCATTTCTTTCAAAAACTCTTACTGATCCCAAACTTTTGAATGTAATTTAACACTTACTGTCTTACAAATGATAACTTAAACTCAATGTAAGATTGTACTGACTCTCTTGCTCCGGTCTCATCCCAGCTAAACCCATCAGTCTGGTGGAGAGATGTTGGTGCCGGTCCACTCACAACACCGTCCCGCAGAGGAGCATCCGTGAGATTAAGTTCCTCCACACACCCAGCTGCCCTTTCCAAGTCATGTGAGTCAACTTTCCAGATCCATCTATCTCACACTCGCTAAACTGTATTTTGTATAAGCATTACATGGCTGCATTAAGTTACACCAATGAACGTCATTTTGCAAAACAGCGCCAGAAATAGCTCTTAAAGTTATACATTTCCAGTTTAAGGAGCCAAATCTGTGTGGGAATGTAGCCATGTGCTCCATTGGTCACAGAATAATACAAAAAAGAAAGAGAAAAGCTATTTTTCCCAGGTTTTCACGACACAATACTTGTTAAGGGTCAAAATGATTAGCTTTCTGTTGTCGTTTTCATTTTTACCAGCATTTGGAATTACTTCAGCCGTCTGGAATGTATTAAACCGAACCATTTGTACCCCGTCGGACAGCAAAAAGCCAAAGCGCTACGGGGGGGATCAAGATTATAGGGGTTACAGAGGTTAGCATGTAGCCGAGGGTCATTTGGGGAACACACTTTGGCCGGAGGAAATCACCTTTAATCTGTCGTTTTCCACACATCATGTTTAGAAATCCTTTCGGATTCTTTGGCCCAGATGAAAGACAGCCACCAACCCTTTCCCCCCACAGAAACGCACATCACTCATTTTGTTGTTAGCATTAGCTAGCTGTGAGGTAATTACTACCTGCTGGCTCGGTCCCAGACCACCGACAAGCTCGCTCGAAAGATCGTTTAGACTAGCTAGATTAACCCAGAGCCCAAATCACAAACAAACAAACAAATATAGATAAAGTCAATGGATGACATCCCGCCTGTAAACAAACAGGGATAGCATTACGTTTTTATTTAGCTTACTGATCAGGAAGTTGATTGTGAGGATTGGTGTGTAGATTTGGGGTTAAGTGGATCTTTTATCTGCGCCGACAGGCTCCATTTTTCTAGACAGATTGAGAGATCCGTGTGTGTGTGAGGTGTGAGCAATACGAATAGCCATTTGAATGGCAGCGTGAGCCTCTAACCCTCAAACACCACCTTTTGGCACAGAGGTGCGAAGTCTATGTGTCATTTGTGTGGTTTTCTCCACGTGTGGGTGAATGAAGCATTTGAGGGGATTTTCCTGGCTGTACCAAAGCTCATTTGGAGGGCAGATATCAATCAGAAAGATTTCTGTTTGAGGGGATTTCAGACCCATGACTTTCTTTTTGTCATTAATGAAAAATCGCACAACATCAAAAGTCGCTTTCTTTGCAACTATCCTGTAGACAACGCTGTAGGCCCATTTGTTGTAAGGACATGTAAGTGTTGTCAAATATACAGGTATAAATCTCACATTTATGGATCACTGATGGACACTTTTCACATTTCCCTTTCGAAAATTAACTGTGGTTTTATTATTTATTATTTTATTTATTCTAAGTTTGCATGTGTTTGGTTAGTAACAGAATTAGATAATTAAATTATTTTAAATTCTATTGTTTTTTTTTTTTTTAAGAATTGGGAGTCAGAATCTGAGAATACAGTATCCATTTAATTTCATTAGAAATGTTTTTTTTTACTTTAGACAAACTATATGCACATGTACAGAGTTGGGAATCCCGGGCAGAATCTTCCGAATCATCAAAAATCCCGAACTTCCAGACAGCACAACATTGTCCTTACAAACCTCCTCTAATTCAGTCCTGATATCTGATGAAGTGCAGTGACTCCTGCCAGTACAGTAGAATAGAGGGGCTGAAATGTAATCCATGACGGACAGCTGATATGATCTGATAAAACACACCGAGGGAGAAAACTACAGTCTCTCTTTTGCTCTCGTCCGAAACAAATCCCTTCTTCTCTCTCTCTCATTACCAGTGCCAAGCTGAAGAACAACAGAGAGGTCTGCATCAACCCCAAGACCAAATGGCTGCAGCAGTATCTAAAGAATGCCATTAGCAAGTAAGAAGAAACTCTTTCTACACTAGAAAAAGCAGGAGTTCTCTGAGGAATCATGGGATGGAATACAGACCTTTTCCTTATAGACTTAAAAAAAATTGAATTAAAATGTAAACAAATATATATAACGGAAATAAGCAGTACTAGAAAGTGCATGTTCCACACAATAAATTGCTTAAATTTTACACATTTGTATGTTTTGTTAAGTTTCAACACTAATACAACATCAGACACTTTCAAAAACAGAAACATCTTTTTCTACAAATGTTTTTGAAAACGCTTTTAACAGTCCGAACTGGAATAGATGCCGCCTTCAAGATAATTTCACACTTCTAAAATATATAACGTCCGAAGAAAAATAAATAAACTAAACTATGCTTTAAAAACTGGTGATGAAATGATTTTCACTTAGAAATTGCTAGTAAATTTCACAAATAATTACAAATAGCAAGTAACACATTAAATTAAATGAGAAGTTATGACTATTTTTTGTAATTTACACAACTTGTAATTTGTTACGTTACGCAAAGTGCATCCCGTCCAAATAAATGCAGGAATGCAGTAGCATTAAGGGTTTTAAAACAAATCTTAGCTGAAATTTACAAGCTGTTGTTCTTAAACGGCATATGTGGAATGTTATTGGCTAATTTAAGGTTATAGAAATTACACGTTTACCTAAGTAAGTAATTATAGGCTCCACCACAGAGCCTGAAGCGTTTAACCCGTTCTTTAATTACACTAATTGTAGATTAATGATGAGGTAACAGGCAGAGCAGAGAGGTTTTACACCATTATAATGGACTTCCTATTGTGCCACTGAGCCAAAATGACTGATGCCTTAAAATAAAATAAAAAACATGTGTCGACCATTGTTGTTACTGTAAACTAAAACAAAAACTATGAAAAATAGGGTATTAATTATGTTAATTAAAAAGATATATAGTATTTAATAATTATATTATATTATTTAATATTTATAATAGAATTGAATATATGTTATATTAAATAATATTATACTTTAGAAGTATTATTCCACACATCTTGTTTAGAAATCCTTTCGGATTCGTTGGCCCAGATTTTTTATGAAAAATGCTTCCTAGCTGAAATAACTGAAATAAAACAAGTTCAAGTTATAGTATTAAAATTACTAAAACTAAAATTGAAATTAAAACAAACAAAATCATTGCAAAACGTAAACTAAAATAAACATGAAAACTGAAAATGTAAAAATTAATCCTACTTAAAAATATTAATAAATACTGGTAATCATATATAAATAATACTACAATAACACTGGTCTAGAGTTTATTGACTCTCTAAACATCTCTCATGGAAAATATGTAAAAGCTAAATAGATATTTTGTAATTTATTGCTACCGAAGTGACAATTGTTACAACATAAAAAAAAATGTTTCAAGTGACGTACTTACAAGAGATTGTTCACTAGAAGTTGATGTTCTAGATAGTTAAAAAAAAAGTTAAATGCATAAAAGTTCACACAGAAATATGATGATGATATGAAAACATTAAAGACTTTGATTGCACATTTCCAACACTATCTCACGACCAATTCGTACGTATTTTACGAGGTGGCTAATTCGTACAAATTCGTACAATCTCACTCGTACGATTTTGTACGATTTTTTTTTTTTTAAGAATTGGGAGTCAGAATCTGAGAATACAGTATCCATTTAATTTCATTAGAAATGTTTTTTTTTACTTTAGACAAACTATATGCACATGTACAGAGTTGGGAATCCCGGGCAGAATCTTCCGAATCATCAAAAATCCCGAACTTCCAGACAGCACAACATTGTCCTTACACAAATTCGTACAATCTCACTCGTACGATTTTGTACGATTTGTCTATACCCCGGTGACGGGTACGTTTAGGGGCGGGGTTAGGTGTCGGTCATTCGTACGAATTCATACGAATTAGCCACCTTGTAAAATATGTACGAATTGCCGTGAGATCGGGTTGACATTTCATCCTCAAAACTGGCAAAATCTTTACATCTATTTAAAAATCAGCAAAACTCGTCTTGTTCATCTCTAATGATATGATTGTTCTTTCTTTTCCAGAATAAAGAAGAAGCGCTCAAAGTAAACAACTGAGGATGTGCGAGGAGGACCACCGTACATCTCTGGCCTTCAAAGAGTCATCCATCCTCTTCTCTCGCTCTCTTTGATCACTCCTCCTCTTTTTGGACTGCTTGCACAAACAGCACTTCACCTAAACCTGCCTCTCAAGCATCCAGACAGCATGCAGCTCACCAAAACACAAGCCAACACCTTCTTCCTGACGCACTGCTACTGCGGCTGTGATTACTGACTGAATGAAGCGACTGAATGTGACCGTGAACGTTTGAATGTGAAGGCAAGAGAGATATCTACAGGTTTTCCGCAACTTAAAGGGTAGTAAAAATGAGAGTTTGTGTCATAGTTGTGAGGGATGTCTAAACTTTAGGATAGTTTGGGATTAATAAGGGACATAAGCAAGTGAAAATGAAGCAGAAATTTAAACCTGCCTCGTTCTAGCTTTCACTTTTTGCTATTTTGCTGCTCATAGCTTAGTAGAAGTGTTTAAAAGCTCACCAGCACACATGAATGACCCAGCATGCTAACACTAGCTCTGTTCCAAAACTTAGTGAGCCGCCTACTGAACAAAAAATTGGCGTAGAAACAATTTTCACTCAGAAATTCCTAATAAATACTACAATAAATTACAAAGAAATGGCAGTTGAACATGAAATTTTGAAGTAGAAAACCTGAAATAGTATTCTCTTGTAAAACGTGCTCCAAAAACCTTTTTACGGTGCAAAAAAAACAGCAAAATAAACTGTCTTTTAAAATTTAAGTAGCCTATGCGTGAATTGTATTTCACAAATAAAATTAATTGCGACAAGTTTCATTAGAAACCCAAGATGGCGGATGTGAAATGCCTATCATAAAAATACTTACATTTCATTAAATACTCAATAAAAAGTGAACAACTATTTTCCTCAGTATTTTTATGTTAGTTGGTTACTTAAATGTTAGTTAAATAT